TTTCCAGACTAGGATCTTCTGTTTTAGTTGACCTGGGAGAGTGGAAACTCAATGTCCATTTTTTTCTCTCTTGCTTTTTAGTTGGCTAAGTGGAAGACAGCTGAGGAGGTGGCTGCCCTGATCCGATCTCTGCCTGTGGAGGAGCAGCCCAAGCAGATTATTGTCACCAGGAAGGGCATGCTGGATCCATTGGAGGTGAGAGGTGGATGAGGTAGAAGAAAGGAGGGCTGAGATCGATGGGTTCTGTTTCTAATCTTGAACTTGATTTTCTGCCAGGTGCACTTGCTGGACTTCCCCAATATCGTGATCAAAGGATCAGAGCTCCAACTGCCTTTCCAGGCTTGCCTCAAGGTGGAAAAGTTTGGGGATCTCATCCTTAAAGCCACTGAGCCCCAGATGGTTCTCTTTAACCTCTATGATGACTGGCTCAAGACTATTTCATCTTACACGGTATGAAGCCACCTCATGAAGAGGGTTACTCTAAGAGGAGTGGGTTTGGGGCCACGAGAAGATCCTGTGCCTTAGCTTTTCCCACAGGCTCCTTATGGGGCCTTTTTACATGTTCAACCTCTGAATGGGACAGTGACTGTGCTCTGCATATCGAGTTGACTCATGGTGTGGGTATAGAGTTTGAAATCAATTCCTGGGTTCCCTGAAAGGGTAGGATCATGGGCGGGAAGAACATCAAGTGGCTGACTTCCCTCTCCACTGCCACATCTCTTCCCAGGCTTTCTCCCGCCTTATCCTGATTCTGCGTGCCCTGCATGTGAACAATGACCGGGCAAAGGTGATCCTGAAGCCAGACAAGACTACTATTACAGAACCACACCACATCTGGCCCACTCTGACTGACGAGGAGTGGATCAAGGTGGAGGTGCAGCTCAAGGATCTTATCTTGGCTGACTACGGCAAGAAAAACAAGTGAGCAGGGTTGGTGGGGAGACAGATGGAAGGTCCAGAAAAGGTGAAATGAGGGGCTCACTGTATGGTTTCTGGATTTTTTGAAACATTTAGGCTCAGAAGTTTCTCAAGAAATTGTCCTGGAGATGCCTGTAGAAGAGAGGCGGGCAGTGTGTTCAGATAGTGTGGGAAGTGTCTGTGTTTTGGGGCTTCAGTCTGACTCTTGGTCATTGTTTCTCGGCGGAGCCACTGTTGCCATATTGAGCAGGGCATTTCTTTACTGTCCACACATTACAGGTCTGGTCATCCCAGGCCCCCAGGTACCACTGCTAATAGCACACACACAGCTTCTTTCCTTCTTTTCCCTGCTATTGTGGCAACAATGCCACATTCTGGCAATAATGCTACAAAAATGTCCATAGATTTCCAGATACCCCCTAGGGTGACTGACAGTACCAGTATTAGCTCTGGCTGAGAACGTGTTCTAGGGTTTCTGTTTTTGAGAATTGTCCTGTGCCAGGGCACTTTTTGTCAAGGAAAAGTGCAAGGTATGGATGTTGAGCAGGTTTGAGCATGGCTGAAAGTGCACAAGCACACAGACATCCTGGGATGTGACGAATCTTATTAGTATACCTCCAGTTCACACTTTTGCAAGCGTCACTTGAGATTATCTGGGTTAGGAGTATGGGCTCCCCTGTCCCACCAAGTTACACTCTTGCCATTGAGGCATGTGACCAAGGGGAAGGGATCCTTGTGTGACCCACACTGTCCCCACAGTGTGAATGTGGCATCACTGACACAATCAGAAATTCGAGACATCATCCTGGGTATGGAGATCTCAGCACCGTCACAGCAGCGGCAGCAGATAGCTGAGATTGAGAAGCAGACCAAGGAGCAGTCACAGCTGACTGCAACACAGACTCGCACTGTCAACAAGCATGGTGACGAAATCATCACCTCTACCACCAGCAACTATGAGACCCAGACTTTCTCATCTAAGACCGAATGGAGGGTCAGGTATTGTAAGGGGCGGGAGGGGTAGGAATGGAAAGGCCTACTGGTGCTACCTAAGATTCTTGGATGGAAAAGTGCTGACGTTCCCTACGTGTTCTTAGGGCCATCTCTGCCGCCAACCTGCACCTAAGGACCAATCACATCTATGTTTCATCTGATGACATCAAGGAGACTGGTTATACCTATATCCTTCCCAAGAATGTCCTTAAGAAATTCATCTGCATATCTGATCTTCGGGCCCAAGTGAGTGTGCTCAACTAGGCCACAGTGTGTCCCCAACATTTATGTGCCTAAAACTCACCTGAGAATTCCTGAAACTTGGGGTGCTTGTTTTTAAGATTCGTGGATGAGTAAATACACAAGGATAGCCAAAACAACAAGGAGGGGTTTGGCCCCCACCAGATATTAAAATATTACAAAGCTATGGCAGTCAAGAGAATGATGTCTCATTGGCCCAGAAGTTATTTGAAGAGAATAGCGTATAGTCAGAAACAGCTTCATGTGTGTATTGTGTTGTGTATCACATCTGTGCGGTTAAGGATGCTTTATGATACTGAAACAGGAAAAGGAAACTAGATCCTGCCTATCACACCACTTAACAAAAATAGACTCCAGGTGGAGTAAAGATCTGAATGTAAAGTACCAAACTGTACGGTATTGGAAGAATATTTATTACCTGAATATTGGGATAGCCTTCTTAAACGAGACACAAAAGACCAAACCATTATCAAAGTTACTAACTCGTGTGTGACAATAAAAACAGGAAGAGTTGCATAACTGTTAAGACACAATGGATTAGGATCTAAAATAGGGAATTTTCAGAAGTTGATTTTAAAAAAGATACTGTAGAAGAATGGGCAAAGAATACAAAGATATTTCAGAAAGGAACTATAGATGACAAATAGAATATGAAAGATGCTCAACTTTAGTAGTAATCAGGGAAGTTCATAATTTATAAACCATCAATTTGGGGCCTCAGGTTGGTGAATTTGAAAGGATTGTTAATATGTGATGTGGGCAAGTTTGTAGGAACGTGGGTTGGTCCTCTTTGTTGATGGCGATGTAAAATTTAAAATACCACCTAGTGCTGGTTTTAAAAATGTGTTCGGCTTGTGAAAATTCACGAGTTGTGTGCTTGTGTGCTCATTTGTTTATGGACACTGTACTTAAATAATTTACTGGGGAATGTGTGAGCAGTGCAGACTGCTGGACCCCGCTCAAGAGATTCTGATGTAAGTCTGAGATGAGATTCACGTCTAACATTTTGAACAAGCCCTCTGGGTGATTCTGATGCAGATCTGAGCACACTTAGAGAAATTGTCCTTGTTCCTGGAGAAGGGAATGAAACGCAGGGCTGACAGCCCAGAGTGTGGGCTGGTACTAAGAATCTCTTTGGTTCTTGACTCTCTTTTCTCCAGATTGCAGGATACCTGTATGGAGTGAGCCCACCGGATAACCCCCAGGTGAAGGAGATCCGCTGCATTGTGATGGTGCCACAGTGGGGCACTCACCAGACCGTGCACCTGCCTGGCCAGCTGCCCCAGCATGAGTACCTCAAGGTCAGTGGGGGTGTGGGAGAATGGAGGCTTTCTGCTCTGCTGTCAGGGTGGTGGAGGGAAAGCTGGCATGTTACTCTCACGGGTGGGATTCCTATCTGCAGATGGGGCTGTAAATAGCTTTTCACTGCTCTTTGCCTATAGGAGATGGAACCCTTAGGTTGGATCCACACTCAGCCCAATGAGTCCCCCCAGCTATCACCCCAGGATGTGACCACCCATGCCAAGATCATGGCTGACAACCCATCTTGGGATGGCGAAAAGACCATTATCATCACCTGCAGGTGGGCTTGGGCCCTCTTAGGAGGAAGTATGGTGGGGAGGCATTGCAGGCCAGGGCCCAAAATGGTGGCCTGAGCTCCGACTCTGTCCTCATCTCTCTTCCAGCTTCACACCAGGCTCCTGCACACTGACAGCCTACAAGCTGACCCCCAGTGGCTATGAATGGGGCCGCCAGAACACAGACAAGGGCAACAACCCCAAGGGCTACCTACCCTCGCACTACGAGAGAGTCCAGATGCTGTTGTCAGATCGTTTCCTCGGCTTCTTTATGGTCCCTGCCCAGTCCTCGTGGAACTACAACTTTATGGGTAGGTGGGGGAGCACAGGGAAGTGGGGATGGGGTTAGGCCATCGCCCTTAGCACCTGAGGCCCGACTCTAGTTTGGAAGATGGCGCAGGGGCCTGGGCTGGGTGAGGCAGGTGGACTTTGTTAACACTGGACATTTCCTTCTACCCCAAGGTGTCCGGCATGACCCCAACATGAAGTACGAGCTGCAGCTGGCAAATCCCAAAGAGTTCTACCATGAGGTGCACAGACCCTCCCACTTCCTCAACTTTGCCCTCCTGCAGGAGGGTGAGGTCTACTCTGCCGACCGAGAGGACCTCTATGCCTAGTTGTTTCCTCACTTCCTCCTGCTTCAGACTCCGCAAAGGCTGGAGCCTTTTGCCCTCCCAAGAAAAGCTGGTGACATTCAGCAGCTTGGCCCCTTTTCCTTCTATTTTGTGTTTGTTGTGTTGTTGATCTCCTGATGGCTTGCAGTCCTGAACAAAGTGTAATAATAAATTTTGTACAAATGGGAGTGTTTGAGGGTTTTTTCCCCTTGTGCTCAGATTATGGTTGAAGGGATGGCAGGAGGCCGGACTTGTTTACAGCAAGGTACTGGGGTCAGCCTCAAAAGGACACAAGGCTTCCCAGGAGCTGTGAGGCTAAACACCCCCTAGACTCAGGCAACTGCTGGTGGGGTCATGGCGGTTGGGCATTCACACTCCTGCTTCCTTGGCCACATTGGCCATTTTCCCTCCAAAATACTTGGAAACCATCACCCTTCTTCAACATCCCTTGGAGCAGTCCTTGCCGTTTTCTGAGTCTGGAACCTCATGGCTTGTTTTCTGCAGCTGTGGTGCCCAGCCCAGCTCCTTAAGCTTTGTGTCACTCCTGGTTGGGGAAACAGGCACAGCGGGACAGTTGGCAGTCACTGGCCTCAGCCTCTTGCCTGGAGCTCTTGGCAGCCAAGTCGGGCCCCATGATTCCAGGCAGGGGTGGAGCCTGGATCGGGCTCTGAGGAGGGCTTGACCCAAGTGACCAGTGGGAGCCCTAGACCTCAGTTCTTGGACGCCTGGCTGGAAGTTGGCTGTCCTGCTTCCTGTGACCTTGGGGGCCTGAACAGGGCAGGGCCCAGGGTGCCCAGGCCACTGTCTCCTTCCCCACGCCTTTTCCCTTGATCGCTCCGCCCTGTCGCTTCTACCTCCGCCCTCTACGGCTCTAAACTGCTTCCTGGGCCGGAACTGTGGCTTTTTCCTGCCCCATTGGGGCTGGGGGCTGTCGCAGCTGTTGACAGTCAGAGGACATGGAGCCCAGGAGGGCGACGCCTGGGGCGCACGTCTGGGGGCCTCAAGTGACTGCGGGGTCGGGGACGACCGCGGAGCTCGTGTACCATCTAGCGGGGGCCCTGGGCACCGAGCTGCAGGAGCTGGCGCGCCGCTTCGGGCCGGAGGCGGCGGCCGGGCTCGTGCCGCTCGTGGTGCGGGCGCTGGAGCTCCTGGAAAAGGCGGCCGTGGGGCCCACCCCGGACTCGGTGAGTCACACTGCCCCCTCCCTCGCCACCGCGGGGTCGGCGGGGCGCAACCCTGAGAGCCCAGCCTCGCCAGCTGCAGGTGGCGGCGCAGCAGGCCGAAGTGGAGCTGCGGCGGCTGCGGGAGGAGAACGAGCGCCTCCGCAGAGAGCTGCGCTCGGGACCGCAGGGTGAGCGCGGGCCCGGCCAGAGGGGCGGGGCGGGCGCCGGCTCGGGGCCTCCCTCCCGCGGGCCGCCGCTAAGAACGCCCCTTCCTTAGAGGACCGAGCTCTGCTGCGGCAGCTCAAGGAGGTGACCGACCGACAGCGGGACGAACTCCGGGCGCACAACCGCGACCTCCAGCAGCGTAGCCAGGAGACCGAAGCGGTCCGGGCGGGGCGGGGCGATGGGCGCGGGGCGGGGCGGGGCTCTCTGCGCCGGGCGCCGCGCCCACCAGCCCCCTCTCTCTGCTCCGCCCCCAGTTGCAGGAGCAGCTGCAGCGCCTCCTGCTGGTGAACGCAGAGTTGCGGCAGAAGCTGGCAGCGGTGCAAACCCAGCTGCGCGCCGCGCGGGACCGCGAGAGCCAGCTCGAGCCGCGGCGCGAAGGGGCCGTGGAGCTGGCTCAGGGGCCGGCGCGGGACCAGGCCGAGCCGGCGACTGCTGGCGCAGGAGCCCCCGGGACCCCTGGGGACCCGGCAAGTGCCCGATGATGTCAGGGACCCATCCCAGGACTCACAGCTTGTAGCACTTGGTGGGCACTCGGGAAAGGTTTGCCGTGCCGCGTAGCAGGTCCACCGGGAAGTTGGAAGGTGGCGCACAGTGTGCACCCCGAGCCTGCCTCTGCCCCAACTCTTGGCCCCCACAGAGCACTGGTCTGTCATCTATTGTAGCGCCCTTGCCTCCCAAGTCTCCCTGCTGGTCGCTTCCTCTCGCGTTTCTGTGATGCCTGGGGATAGGGGAGGGCCCGCTGAGGCTCACCTCTGACCCAGCCTGTCCTTCCGCAGGCGGATGCCCCGCAGCAGCCAGGGCGCCCCTCCCAGGTGGGACAGTGCAACTTCAGTCGAGAGGAGCTTGAGCAGATCCTTCAGGAGCGTAATGAGCTCAAAGCCAACGTGTTCCTGCTAAAGGAGGAGCTGGCCTACTTCCAGCGGTGAGGGCGCCGGGCAGGGCCTGGGACGCTGAGGGGGCTCCACTTACACCTGTTCCAGGGCCTCAGGTCCCCCGCCTCATTCTTTGGTTCATTGATGTATCCACAGCGCCATGTGCTGGGCCCTGTCCTGGGCACTGGAAGGACGTGAATCACAGCCCCTGCCCTCTTGGAACTTCATCCAAATGGGGGAGGGGCAGTGCAAAGGGTCACAGCCGCTGCAACAGCAGTCAAGGAAGTGTCGCTAGGAGGGATGACACCTAAGCTAAGGGCTGAGGGATGATAGCAAGACAGAGTGTTTCAAAAACGGGGAACAACTTGCACAGGTGCTTGGGTGAGATCTACTGTCGGCATCCCCACCGCTTTTTCCTTGCCCCTTCCCTTCTTCTCTAGGGAGCTGCTTGCAGACCACCGGGTCCCTGGGCTTCTCCTAGAAGCCATGAAGGTGGCTGTCAAAAAGCAGCGGAAGAAGATCAAAGCCAAGATGTTAGGGACCCCAGAGGAAGCGGAAAGCAGGTAAGTCCCTTTCTCCATTCCCACTGAGCCAGCCCTCCCTCCTTTGTTCTGCTGAGCCTGATGACCCAACTTGCTTATGCTCTACCCAGCCTAGCCACCTCCTGAGCTGCTCACCCCGCCTCATCCTCTTCTCAGTCTGTCTCAGACTGATCCTGTCACCCCAGTCTAGTGACCCCTTGAGCCTGTCACCTAGCCTAGTCACTCTTGAACCTGCTAACCTGGCTGGGTTATCCCCTGAGCTTACTGTCTAGCCTATCCTACAGAGCCAGCCACTCCAGCCTGGTTACCTCCTGAGCGTGCTGCCCAGACTGTCCTGCTGAGCCTGCCACTCCAGCCTGGTGACCCCCTGAGCCTGCTGTCCAGCCTGCCCTGTTGAGCCTACCATTCTGGCTTGGTCACCCCTTGGGCCTGCTTCTCTAGTCTGGTCACTCCCTGAGCCTGATATCGAACCTGAAGTGAGTTCGCTCACCCATTGTGCAGCAAGCCAATCTCTGACACCAGGTGTGGTGGAAGAAAGTAGGAATTTTATTTTTGCACAGCGCTGAGCAAGGAGAGAGGGCAGCTGACGCTGAAATCCCAAACTCCCCGAAAAGCTAACAGGAAGGGTTTTTATATGGGGTTTTAGGTAGGGGAGGCAGAGCATATGGCCTTGCTGGTCTGAGCTTTCCCACCAGCCTGTGTTTGGCCTTGAGACTACTTGCAGAGAGGAGGGAGACCATGACCTTGCTGGTCAGCAGCTTTCCCACCAGACTGTATCTCCTTGGCAGGGAGGAGATAGTGAATGCAGGTGCTTGTCCTTGGTGGTGTCTGTCTCCATGGAGGATAGTGGATTCTGGAACCAGGAAGCCAGGGAGTAAGCAGGGAATGAGTGTTTTGGTTTTAACCCCATATATGCTGGATTTAATGTAGGGAAACTGATATCAGGGTCGGTATTAATTCCCTCCTATTTTATGTTCATCCCTCAATCTTGAGGGGTTTGGGGTGGTGACCAATCTAGCTACTTCCTGCCGAAATGGGGCATAGGTTGTTTCATCTCATTGAACCAGTCTTTTAATAAGGCGGTGATGCTGGTGGGCTCTCGAAGGCCTGTATCATGTAAGTAAGTAACCAGGTATTTAATAAGAAGTTTTTCTAGAGAAACAAAAAGAGAAAAACAAGGTTAATCGTTGGAGAAAATTATAAACCAGTTTCGGAGCCCAGGGGGCAGCCAATCAAGATTCCTAGAAGTCAGGGTCAAAGCATCTTTTGCAGTTTGAAATGTCTCTGATGGTGTCATTGGGCACTCAGGTAACTTCTTGAGTGGCTTATATAGCAGTAGACATGAATCTCTCTTAAGTTTATATTAGGTCCTCCAGCTTCAGTTTGCAAGGCTTCAAGAAAAAGGGCAGATTTAGTTTTCAATGACTCCAAATGACAATGATGGGGAAAAAAACCCTGAAAATGTTCGTTTAGAGGTTTTTAGCCAGATGTTTCAGGAGACTAAAAGGATTTAGGATACAGTCCAGTTAACAGATGTAACAAAAATCTGAAAGACAATTGACAGAACCAAAATCCAATATCCACAAATGTTATTATAGTTTCTTTTTTTTTTTTTTTTTAAAGATTGGCACCTGAGCTAACAACTGTTGCCAATCTTTTTTTTTTTTTTTTCTGCTTTATCTTCCCAACCCCCCTGTACATAGTTGTATATCTTAGTTGCAGGTCCTTCTAGTTGTGGGATGTGGGACGCCACCTCAACGTGGCCTGATGAGCGGTGCCATGTCCGCGCCCAGGATCCGAACCCTGGGCCGCTGCAGCGGAGCGCACAAACTTAACCACTCGGCCATGGAGCCAGCCCCTATAGTTTCTATTGAAACATATTCTTTCTCTCTAAAATCACCCTCAGTTTCACTAGACATAGCCAAATTAAGACTAACTGGTTTGCAAAATGTCTAGTTTTAATAAATTTGGCATAATTATTTATATAAGTACAGCAAGAGTAGTAATTGATCATATAGGCTCTTTTAAATCTGCTTTGCTGGAACCTTATAAGGAATCTTGGGTTGAACTTTAAAGGCCTCTCAAGGAAAGCCAAGCAAAGGACCTGTCATCAGATTCTGCCTGCAGTACCTACAGATTTGGGTGAACCCCTCTCTTCGTGAGGTTCCCCAAAATATTGAGGTTCCTTGTGTCTGCCAGAGGGAGTGACATTCTTTGCTCAACCTTACTAGGTCACTGAACCCATAAGTAAGGTACCAGGCCAATATTTCCAAATGGCTTTATTCCAGGATGTCAACCTTCATTCCTCAAAAGCTGTCTTGTTATATTTAAGCCCGTATGTTTTTTCAAATATGATGTTCCAGTCAAAGCCTCAGTAATATAACCAGTGTTTCCAACTGTGTCCTGTTATAAGAAGAACAGATTCTTATTGGACTTATGCAAACAATCACATTGCCATGAGAATAAGAATACTTACTCATCAGGAGTTTTTACGTTTTGGAGGGCTCAGATAGGGAGAAAAAGATAAATGTTTCAATTTTGTTTACAAATTGCTATAAGTCATATTTCCTTAAGAGAATAGAGAAAAAGGTTTTCTTAAATCTGAAAAAAGCAAAACATCAAAAATCAGCAATATCTCAATCAAAAAGCTATAAAAATTATAATCCTCCCTATTGGTTTATTCAGTCCTGTGTAATTGGTTCTTGATCTTAATCTCATTGGCAGTTTGTGAGGTCATCAGTTTCTCTTTCAGTTCTGTAATTTTTACCCAGTTTAGCTTTATAATCTCAAAGTTTATTGGAAACCTGTATTCTAGAGTGTCAGAGTCCTTTCCATGACTTTCTCTGAAGATGAAACATATTTGCAAAAATATCAAAGTAAAACAGCAACTGTCTGCAAATAACGAAACATTCAAAAATGTAACTGACAAAGGCATTTGACCATCTCTGTGATATACAACATTTTGAGATAATAACCAGAATTATGGCTGACAATCAGAACAGATCAGATAATTTTTTAAATATTTATATCAATAACACTCATTTATATAATACCATTTAAGAAAGTTTATCATTACTTATTTGACAATGCTTCTTATGTAACAATATACAAAATATTAGTTTAGCATTTTTCTTATGGGAAGAGAGCAAATTTCTCTGAGAAGTCCCAGCAGCCCTCTGAAAATCCCCAGAGAAACTTTCCCTCTTCTTCCAGGCCAAAAGAAAGCGTTTACTCAGAACTTGAATATGTGTGTGTGGGGGGGGGGAAGCTTGTCAAAAATATTAAAAGCTTTAAAACATTTGTTCAGATAGGAAACCAGGTTCACTGTGAAACCATGTTCAGATATCTATTTGAAGTGACAACAGAAACAGTCAAGGGGAAACAGAGTTAAAATAGTGGAAAAAACCACCTTTTTATAATCTTTTTATCAAAAGCAGATTAAAAGTTTAGGAAAATTATCTTTTAAGAAAGAGGAAACCAAGTTTTAATTTTGTACCAGTTTACTTTTGACATATAAGTTCATTTACTTAATTGGATTTACTTTAATCCTGGCCAACTTGACCATACATAAAACTCTTTAGGGCTTTACTTTTACAAACCTTTGGTTACTTTTTTTACATTTAGAATTTGTCCCAGTATTTTAGGACAAATTTATCTTTCTCAACTCAAGAAAGAAAAATATTTCTATTCTTTATTTTTTTTACTGAAAACATATATTTTACTTTCCTTGTATACAAACCTTTTAGAAATATATGTTTTCTCATAGAAAATTTCTCAGCATACATAAAACATGTTTATCAATAAAGCTAAGCACTTTTCAGTTTCTTTGATATAAGAAACCAAAGGCAGGGCTGGCCCAGTGGCACAGCGGTTAAGTTCGCACTTTCTGCTTCTTGGGGGCCCAGGGTTTGCCAGTTCGGATCCCGGGTGCGGACATGGCACCACTTGGCAAAAGCCATGCTGTGGTAGGCATCCCATATGTAAAGTAGAGGAAGATGGGCACAGACGTTAGCTCAGGGCGAGTCTTCCTCAGCAAAAAGAGGAGGATTGGCAGCAGTTAGCTCAGGGCTGGTCTTCCTCAAAAAAAAAAAAAGAAACCAAAGGCAGATAAATATATGCCTAGTAGTTAACCTTTAATATTGTATCTTATGTGGAAATGACCTAGATACCAAATAAACTGTTATTATTTAACTTAACTTAGTAAAGCTATAAAGTTTAAGTTTCCAAAAAAGATTTTGGAAGCTGTTTTTTAGGTATGCAGACTATAAAACATAATTATTGTACTTAAAACTCTTACCCAGTTTTAACAATTACTCTTTAAAACTTCATGTGACATTACAGCAATTTAACTATCATCCTCAGTTGTTTTAAGTACATACATCATAATACATATAATTATCATTAAAAAGTTTTTCCAAAAACTTTTATCCTTTTTACATTTATTTAGTTTACTTGTCTTTAGCAATTATATTTAGATCATCTACAAAAACCTTATGAAACATCAAACAAAATTAGCTATTATACTGAGTTATGAGTTTTGCTGATAAATTTTGTAGCAGAGATGACAGGAGCTCATTTGACCAGTAAACCCAGGCTGTGTGTCTGCATCATATCCAATGCTGATAACTTTGAGGACATGTTTATTTTATCAAACCAGCAAACTTAAACAGGGTTTCATTCATCAAAGATCATTTTATATCTTGTTAAATAACTTTGTCTCTTAGAAGTTTTTGCATATTCATTAAAGACTGCATTCCATTATGAGAGATTTTGAATCCTCTTCTGAAACAGGTTTTCAGAATGGCCATTACAATTCCAAATTATCTCAAAAGTTTGCTTATTTTTACTTGTTCCATTTTACATCAGGAATTTTGGGAGAGTTGAAGCTCAGCTCAGATTGATGGGAAGCTCAGCGAGAGAGGAGACAAAAGCAGCAGATTTGGGTTCAGCTGCTGGCATGTTGAATTATTTAATTATTTTTTCTTAAAGAGGCAGTAAAAGTATTTCTAATTTTATTTAGAAGCCTCAAAAGATTAAAACAGACTCCCCGTTGTTGCAGCTGGCTTTTCCAATTGCATATATCAGTTTGGGTGAACTCAAATTGGTCTGTTTAAGTATATCAATTTTTATAAAACTTTTATCTTAATTTTACTAACTGTTATACTTTAATTATAACCTACCCTAGAATTCCATTAACAAGTTTTGGTATTACAATATCGTGTAGGGGAGGCATTCCCAGTTAGACATAACATTTATTCCCAAAGAAAACATTCAGGCAAAGTTGACATAACCTCTTCATATAATATTAGCTTAAACACTTTAATCTTTATAGTCTTATTAACCTTAATAGCCTAACTGTTGCCCCAAACAATTGCTGGTCAGGTTTTTCACTTTGATTTTTGCCTCCTGACCTTTTAAGTTTTTCAAACGGGGGTAAATAGAACAGGTTTGTCTGATGTCCGTTAATGTTGGGGGGTCCCTTCAGCCCATCCAACCTTAGGCAGTGTTTTATTAAAACCTTTGTTTTAACTTTATTCATGTCTGTTCCATTTATCCCATTTTTCTTTTTAATAACTAGCTAAAGATTTTTGTCCCATTGGGATGAGTCCTGTGACTCTTCCCTTTCTGATTTCTCTATGTTAACTTAATGCTTTTATTAGCATCTGTAAGACCATGAGAAGAAACTGAGACCCCAAGTTTGATTAAGTTCTTAAGACTAGTCATTATAGTTTCCTTTTAATTTGGTCTTTTCATAGGTACCAATAAAACAGCTGTTTATCATGAGAGCTCTCTAAAAAGTTTCCCAACTTAAGGATCCATTGTTTGGCCTTTCTTTTTTTCTCCAGAGTCTAAAGAATATTGTGGCCGCGTGGTGTTACAAAAGAAAATCATCCCTCTTCAGACATTGGCTTATAGCTATAGGCCGACTATCAGCCAAGGTTTTTCCCTAGGGGCTCTTAGGTGGAATAGAGGCAGCACCTCCCATGTTAACACTTTTAAAAGGACAGACAAACAGACAACAACAACAAATACCAAACAAGCACGCTTTCCCAAAACCACTCGGGCACAAAACCACTCGGAAGCCAAAATGAAGACCAAAACCAAAAACCAAAGTGCTTCCAGTCCCAGCTTAGTCCGTGTCCTGCACTCGGGGGGCGCCCAACAAATGAAGATTCGCCATGCAGACCTTCCCAGATGAGCAAGGACAAGGGAACTTGGTTGTGCACACCCGGGGGACTTACCAAAATCTGGCGAGGGCTTGGAGACTTCAAGACAGACGGAGCCCAGAGGGCTGCCAAAGTACCCATTATTTCCGGCCGGTCCTGTTGGAAAAGGTTAACACAAAGACAAAGACAAAAACTACGAGCCACTTACAAGAGACGTCTTCCTAAGTCCTAAACCTAGTTTCTTCCACCACCAAAGCAAAAGTGCTGTGGGCCAACGATGTCGGGTCAGCAGCCAGTCGCTTGGGGCTGTCCCTGCGACAAGGGGCTCAGGCAGCTGCAGGACAGCTTCCAAGAGAGACCTTTATCCAGAGGCCAGTGTGCCACAGGCAAGACGTCCATCTGGGACATTGTCCCATCTGGGTCTCCAAATTGATACCGAACCTGAAGTGAGTTCGCTCACCCGTTGCACAGCAAGCCAATCTCTGACACCAGGGGTAGTGGAAGAAAGTAGGAACTTTATTATTGCACAGCACTGAGCAAGGAGAGAGGGCAGCTAACGCTGAAATCCCAAACTCCCCAAAAAGCTAAAAGGAAGGGTTTTTATTTGGAGTTTTAGGTAGGGGAGGCAGAGCATATGACCTTTCTGGTCGGACCTTTCCCACCAGCCTATATTTGGCCTTGAGACTATTTGCAGAGAGGAGGGAGCCCCTGGCCTTGCTGGTCAGCTAGTGGGAACCAGCCTGTATCTCTTTGCGAGGAGGAGATAATGAGTACAGATGCTTGTCCTTGGTGGTGTCTGTCTCCATGGAGGATAGTGGATTTTGGAGCCAGGAAGCCAGGGAGTAAGCAGGGAATGAGTGTTTTGGTTTTAACCCCATATGTGCTGGATTTAATGTAGGGAAACTGATATCAGGGTCAGTATCAAGCCTGCCATCCAGACTGCCCTGCTGAGCCTGCCACCCTTCTCTCTGGATCACACTGCTCCCACTAGCCATGCTTGCTATACATACTACTGAAGAAACCTGCTAACGCTGTTCCTCCACGTTCGTTTTTTGCTTCCTTGCCTTGGCTAGATCTGTTTGTTTTCGGAGAGGTAAGACTGTACAGTAGTTCCTCCTCATCTGCAGTTTTGCTTTCTGAGTTTTCAGTTACCCACAGTCAACTACAGTTCAAACATATTAAATAGAAAATTCCAGAAATAAACAATTCATAAGTTTTAAATTGCACGCTGTTCTGAGTAGCATCATGACATCTTGCGCTGTCTTGCTCTCTCTCCCACAGGACGTGAATCATGCCTTTGTTCAGTGTATCCATGCTGTACACGCTACCTGCCCTTTAGTCACTTAAGAGCCCTCTCTATTATCAGATTGACTGAGAGGTATCGCAGTGCTTGTGTTCAAGTCACCCTTATTTTACTTAATAACGGCCCCAAAGCGCAGGAGTAGTGATGCTGGCAATTCAGACATGCCAAAGAGAGGATGTAAAGTGCTTCCTTTAAGTGAAAAATCAAAAGTTCTTGACTTAATAAGGAAATAAAAAATCATATGCTAGGGTTGCTAAGATCTATGATAACTTTTATTACAGTATATTGTTATACCACCATGCATCGCTTAACGAGGGGATATCCTCTGAGAAATGTGTTGTTAGGCGATTTTATCATTGTGCGAACATCATAGAGCATACTGAAGGGGAACAAAATTTGCCACCCCAAAATGTATCTCTTTGACATGAGAATTATTTTAGGCTGATTTTTTTTTTTTTTGAGAACTACTAGCCCTGAGCTAACTACTGCCAATCCTCCCCATTTTGCTGAGGAAGACTGGCCCTGAGCTAACATCCATGCCCATCTTCCTCTGCTTTACACGTGGAACCCCTACCACAGCATGGCTTTTTGCCAAGCGGTGCCATGTCTGCATCTGGGATCCGAACCAGCAAACCCCAGGCTGCCGAGAAGTGGAACATGTGAACTTAACCGATGCACCACCGGGCTGGCCCCTAGGCTGATTATTTTTAAGAAACAAAAGATTCAGAAAGTTTTTCTTGTTACCTCCCCCTTAACTGCCTAAAAGAATTTAGATTTAAAAACCTGTCCCAGGAAGCAGCTATCCCCTTAGCATAACATGAACGTGGTGGTAGACAGGGAGGAACCTAGAAAAGCCTGTTTGTTGGGCTCCCCTCCGTGTTCTTCTGTTTGTGTGTGGCCAAACACTTGTTTTCCAAGTATTTGCTCCTTTTCACCTACCTGTAAATTACCTCCTTCCCTTTGAAGTCCCGGACTCTCCCCACTCTCAGCATCTTCTTTTGTCTTTATCTAAGCATGGGATTAAGTGAGGGCTTCTGCCATTTTGTGGCGTTCCTCGGTTTTCCTGGGTTTCTCCCATGTATACATGTTTTAAACTTTTGTTTAATCTGTCTAACGTCAATTTAATTCTCAGATGAGCCAGAGGAACCTAGAAGAGTAGAGGAAAATTTCTTTCTCCCCTGCAGGACTTACACAAACCTAGATGGTATAGCCAACTGTGCAGCTAGGTTATATGGTACCAATCTTATGGGACCACTGTCATATATGCAGTCTGTCATTGACTGAAATGTCATTATGCAGCACATGACTGTAATTGTTCTATTTTATTGTTAGTTATTGTTGTTAATCTCTTAGTGTGCCTAATTTATAAATTAAACTTTATCATACATAGGTATGTATGTATAGGGAAAAACACTATCTATAGGATTCGGCCATATCTGCGGCTTCAGGCATCCACTGAGTCTTGGAACATATCCCCGCAGACAAGGGGGCCTAATGTAGCTGCAGCCTTGTCAGGGGACTGCTATCTGTCAGATTACAAAATCGAAGCCTCAAGATGGCCTTCATCTCCCCAGCGTCCCCTCTCCAGCCTTGGGGGCCTTGTAGTCACTCTGTCCTCCCCTGCCTGGTCCTGGGGGCCGTACAGAAGAATGAACACAGCTAGATTCCTGTGGTCCCTCAGGGCCTTGACAAATGACCCTTACATCTCCTTTCTCCTCTCCCCCTGCCTCAGTGACGACGAGGATGGCTCATGGCTCCTGCTCTCCAGCGATAAGGGAGACCACCCCCCACCCCCTGAATCCAGAATACAGAGTTTGTAAGTTGGGAGAGGAGGAAGGGCAAAAGTGGTGGGGTGAAGGAGGGGCCCCACCTTGGTTCTTTCCAGCATCCCCTTCCCGCTCCGCTGACACTCCCCCTGCTGTGCTGAGCTCTAGGCATGCCCTCTTCCTCCTGCTTCTCTGGCCCTGGCCCCTCATGCTGCCCTTTCTTCCTTTTGTATCCCCTTTTCCTCACCACCCCCGTCCTCAGCCCATATCCTTGACCTCTCTGGCATCCAGGCTCAAAGTACCTCTTGACTCTCCCCCCAGCTTTGGCCTGTGGTATCGGGGTGACACAGAGGCCCCTGAAGCCGAGACCAGCAGCAGCAGGGCTCCCAGTGAGCTTGGGGGAAAAGAGGAGGCCCCACAGCAACCCCACTTGGAGCCTGTGGACAGCCCTACAGCCCCCAACTCCTGACCGGGCCTGCTTTGCTCTCGAAGAACATCTTTGTCTGGAGATCTCAGCTGCCCCAGAGGCCTGACTTTGGTGTGGAGCTGTGGGAAGATGTGTGACCTCAAATGAAGATAGGGCTCCCTCCTTCCCAGACCTCCCCAGGCTCTTTTCCAATCATGGCCTGAGCTGGGGCATGATGGAGACTTCAGCCTACTTCCTTCCCTCTATCTCTGTGCCAAGCCTCCAGGGCCAGATCAAAGAACTTCCTCTCTGAGTCTCAGGTTCCCCATCCACGAAATGGAGAGCTGACTACCTACCTCCCAGGGGTTTGTGCGGATGGCCTACGCTAATGTAATAAAGCGACTGCCCATGATACCCAAAACTGCTCCCTGTCTGTCTGTCTGTCAGTGGTCAGCCCCTGCCCAGCTCTGCCAGGAGCGATGGCAGGCTGAGGTTTCCTCACAAGGTCTCCTTGGTTGTCACTGGGTGTGGAGGCTTCTCCCAGCTCAGGCCTCCCTTAGGGAGTGTGGCCTAATGGAAAGCCGTGGCTCCCCACCCCCCATCCCATCCCTTCGCCTGTCCCCAATACCTGGGAGATGCCAGGAGGCTTACAGCTTCAACTTCCTGCCCCCTCCAGACGGAGACCAGCCCCTTAAGCTCCCCCGCAGCCCTCACCACTGGTCTTCCTTTCCCTTTCGTTTTTTTCTGGAGTCTGGTCTTCCCAGCACCCGCCCGCCCTCTCAGGGAGGTGCCTCATGGCAGCCCGCCCCTCCGGCCTGGTTTCCTCAGGAAAAGCCTTGGGAGGAAGCAGGGAGGGGGTTGGGAGCTGTGGGGGCCAGACTAACATAGGCCCTCCCGCTGCACTGGCCGCCATGGGGCTGGGGCTGCTGCTCCCACTGCTGCTGCTCTGGACTCGGGGGACCCAGGGGTCTGAGCTGGACCCCAATGGGCAGCATGTCTGCATAGCCAGCAGGTGGGTCTTGTGGGAGTCTGATGGGGGAGTGGCTGAACTGGTGTTGAGGAAGTGGGGGGAAGGATGATGTGAGGGAAGAGGGCATGAGGAGAGGGGGGCTTGGGGACAGCCTGGAGGATGGTGGATAGTCAGGGAAGAGGCTGAGAAGGCCAGGAAAGGAGAGGGAAGGGATTGGGGACACTGGGGCTGTGACACTTGGCGAGGCCTGCCTGATGGGGCTGAGGCAGCCTCCCACATCTCAGCCAGAGACAGTGATCCACCCGCGGAGCCAGGCTGCCCACCGGCTGACCCCTCTCTGCCCCACAGCTCCTCTGCCAAGTTCCAGTGCTGCCCAGGCTGGAGGCAGAAAGATCAAGAATGCACCATCCGTGAGTAGACAGGATGGACCCCCACCCCCAGAGAAGGGAGGACATAGCCCAGTGACCCCTCCTTCCTACCCTGTTGGGGCCTGTTTCCCCTCCTGAACCCTAGAGCCGGAGTTCACCCTGTGACACTCCCTCAGCTCTGAGGGAGCTGGTTCTCGAGGGGCAGGGCAGCAGGAGCCAGTTAAAGGGGCAGAGTGTCCCCCGGTCGGGCCCCAGTCCTTCCGACCTGGGTGGGGTGTTTTTCAGCCATCTGCGAGGGGCAGGATGCCTGCCGGGAAGACGAGGTGTGCGTGAAACCAGGCCTTTGTCGATGCAAACCTGGATTCTTCGGGGCCCAGTGCAACTCTCGTGAGTGGTGGGTCTCGACTGGAGCATGAAGTTGCTGGGCAGAACTGGGGGAGCGGGGAGGCCAAGCAGGTAGAAAAGTAATCTTAGAACAGCAGGGCCAGAATCCTTCCAAGCTTCACTGAGGAAATTGAGGCCCAGAGACGGGAAATGACGCACTCCTGGGAGATGCCCTGAATCATCTGGGTTTTACTCACATCCACAAAGCCCTACCCATAGGTTGAGTTCTGGGCCCTCCACCTTCCTTTTCAACTTCTCAGAAAAGGTTCTGGTGATTCCCATTAATTGCAGAATGGATGCTTCTCATCTCCCCCACCTACACCTTGTCTGTGTGTGGAGGGTAGAGGCCCCTGGTTGGGCTGTCTGCCCTCTCTGGCAGAAAGAGGGCCATGGGAAACGAGCGGTGGGCAGGATAGGCAGAGGGCAGCCACCAGGCATCAGGGTTGAGAGGAGACACTGGGGACATGTGGCTTCTCCTGCACCTCGGATGGGGAGCGTCCAGGCCCATCTCCAGCCCAGTGGGGCAACCCAATGAGAGGGAGGAGGGGCCACGAATGAAGTCCCACCCAGTTCTGTGTAACGCTGGGCAAGCTCCTTTCCCACTCAGGATCTTTAAGTGTATTCTGGAATGTGAAGTGGGAGGCTGGGCCACTGCTAAGAGTTTTCGTAGTTCAGAGTCTGGGGCAGGAAGTGAGCTGTGCCCCAGGAGGATAGAGCCAAGTGTTGTAAGGGTCTGTCCCGGTTCTTGGAGGGCGGGCCTTCCTTGCGGAAGGGGGCGCGGGGCGGGGACCCGTGCCTAGCCCTGAGCATGCTGACGTCCTTTCGTCGCCCCCGCCCCCACCCCCTCAGGCTGCCCGGGCCAGTACTGGGGCCCCGACTGCCGTGAGAGCTGCGCCTGCCACCCGCACGGCCAGTGCGAGCCGGCCACGGGCGTGTGTCACTGCCAAGCCGACCGCTGGGGCGACCGCTGCGAGTTCGCGTGCACCTGCGGCCCACACGGGCGATGCGACCCCGTGACGGGCGCGTGCCGCTGCGAGCCCGGCTGGTGGTCACCCACGTGTCGCCGCCCGTGCCAGTGCAACCCGGCGGCGGCACGCTGCGATCAGGCCACCGGCTCCTGCCTGTGCGAGCCGGGCTGGTGGGGCCGCCGCTGCAGCTTCCGCTGCACCTGCCACGGCTCGCCGTGCGCGCAGGAGACGGGCCGCTGCGCCTGCCGGCCGGGCTGGTGGGGCCCCGACTGTCGGCACCGGTGCGAGTGCGCGCGCGGCCGCTGCAGCGCCGCCTCCGGCCAGTGCTCCTGCCCGCCCGGCTTCCGCGGCGCGCGCTGCGAGCTGCGCTGCCCGGCCGGCAGCTACGGGGCGCAGTGCCGCCACAGGTGAGCCGGGGCGCGGCCGGGCTGCGGGCCGAGGGGGCGCAGCGACGGGCGAGAGGGGGATGCAGGAGAGGGGCGGGGATGCGAAGGAGAAAAGGAGGAGGGGCGTGCGAAGGAGGGGAAAGGAATGAGAGAGAAAGAGGATGAGCTGGGCAGGGGTGGGGGCCAGGGAGAAGGTTGCACGGTGCCCTCCACAAAAATATTCACGGATGAGATGAAAGGGGGAGGAAAACCCTCGATGCCCCTAGGTCCAGCCTCGCCCACCCCTTCCATCCGCTTACTGTTAACAAAAAATACTAGTACCTACTAGCAAGCCAGGCTTAGAAACACAGGAAGAATGAATCACGTGGCAGAATGACTGCAGGGTCCCTTCGAGACTCAGTGGCTTTCAAACTGTCCGGCTCCACCCACGTTAAGAAATATATCTCGCCTCACACACACACACACATACACATATATATGAAGTAAAAGCTTAACCAAACACTCCTTATCTTTACTACATATATATCTATATATTGTGTATATACTGTAATGTTTTTTTTCTTTTTCTTTTTTTTTGATGCTGGTCAGGATCTGATAAGTTGATTTCATGAACTCCCCTTCTCCCCCAACTAATAAGTCTCATCCAAGCATACGATCCCAGATAATTATCTGGAGGGAGAAACTTCAAGTAATTGTTAAGGATCAATGAGAAATTAAGATAAACCTTACTGGAAAAGTTAAGAGAGTAGATCCTAAGAGTTCTCATCACAGGGGAAGAAAAAACTTTTTTTTTCTTTATTGTATCTATGTGAGGTGATAGATGTTAACTTAACCTTTGTGGTAATCATTTCACAATATATGTAAATCAAGTCATTACGCTGCACACCTTAAACTTATACAGTGCTGTATGTCAATTATATTGCAACAAAACTGGAAAAAGATTTTAAAGATAAGCTTGAAATTATAGTGGTGACAACAGACATTATGTATGTATTTTTATTTGTATGCATTTTCCTGTACTGGGATAGAAGATAACCTCCTGAGGCCCATTCCTGCCAGACCTCAGGGAGGCATGGGCGGAAGGGAGGAAGGGGAGAGGGGGAGCAGGGGAGCGCTGGGCAGAAGGCAGGCTCAGGCTGGGCTGAGAGCTCCTGGTGACCCTAAGACCCAGGGAAGGATGGGTCTCAGAATGGGGGGAGTGGGGGTGGAAGGAGAGGGCTGGAATCCTACTAGAACCCCCAAAGATCATCTCTCCAACCTCTTCATGATACAACATGGGGAAACTGAGGCTCAAACCTGCCCAAGTGATCCAGCTGAGACCTGGATGCTCCCCATTGCCTCTGGAGGCTTGGGGGAGGGGCACTGTATCCATCCACCCCTCAGTGCTCCTGTGAACTCCTTCTCTTCCCAGCTGTGGCCACTGCAAGCAGAATGAGCCGTGCTCTGCGGACACAGGCAGCTGCGAGTCCTGCGAGCCGGGGTGGAACGGGACCCAGTGCCACCAGCCCTGCTCACCTGGCACCTTTGGTGAGAGCTGCAGGCAGCAATGCCCCCACTGCCGGCTTGGGGAGGCCTGTCAGCCAGACACTGGCCACTGTCAGCGCTGTGACCCTGGCTGGCTGGGGCCCAGGTGAGGGGACCAGCCTGCTCAGGGTGGTGTGCACCTTCCTTTGGGATCCTCACCCCAGCTGCTCCTTCCCCAACACACTCATGCACACAGCCCTCTGGGGCCTGCCTCCTGGTGAAGACAGAGGGGAGAGAGATGGGTGCTGATGAGGCCCTGGGCCGGTTCCCTTCCAGCTCCTTCACCACCCGGGCTTCCTGCTCTCTTCTCCCTCCAGGGATATGTAGTCTGTCACCTATGGGTTAGTTCCCAGGTTCAAGGCCCTGTTTGCACCCGAGCTTCACTGCTGAGGAGTGGACCGTTGGGTCCTTGAGTCCAGGAGCATGGGGGAAGACGGGTGGGACCCCTGTAGGGGCCAGGCCTGCCCTGTCCCTCCATGCCGAGTCTTGCCTCACCTCAGATGTGAAGACCCCTGCCCGAATGGCACTTTTGGGGAGGGCTGTGGCTCTACCTGCCCCACCTGTGATCAGGGGGCCTGCGATGCTGTGACTGGGGAATGTGTCTGCAACGCCGGCTACTGGGGGCCCAGGTGAGCACTGGGGCCCTGGCAGGGAGGCAGGGCCCTAGGTCAGGCCTCTGCAGTCTATTTCCTACACTTCCTTCTTGGGCTTCCCCACCTCCAGGATACCCACCCAGCATCCTCATAACTGTTGTGGGGTCTGTGTCTTCCAAAGGAAGGTCGGAGTGATGCGTAATCTAAAAGGCCTGGCTCCCTAACCAGGTGGGGGAGTTATTTAGGGGTCAGGTTCCAGACCCATTGTTGTTTCCCTAAGGTCTTCAGGTGGTAAAACATAATCAATGTCAATGACCCAATGCCAGGTTTTCCTCCTATATCACAGAATGTAGTATCAGATGGAAGAGATCTCATTTTATAGAGGAGACGACCGAGGCCCAGAGAGATAGGGCCAGGGCTGGGCCTCAGGCCTCCAGACCTGAGGATGTTTCTCTGGATGCCATTGGCATCTTGCTTATTTCACATTAGTGCTGGTAGGCAAGGGATGAGGAGCATGAGAGGTGGACTCTGCCCAAGGGTTACACCCTGGGGGGCTGTGGGCAAGGGGGCAGCTTGCGGGTGGTTTCTCTGGGAGACTGGCTTAGGGGCTGAGGGATTCTCCCAAATGCTGCCAGGGGTACGTAGAGTGTGGCTCCATAGGTCGGAGGAGGCTGCTTGGGCATCATCAGGGAAGTCTGTGTGGTGGGGGTGGGGAGCAGTGCCCAGAAATCTACCTTCCTCTGTCCCCTGCCCACCTCCGTCCCTCTCACCCAGCCTTCAGCCTGTCTCCTTACTGTCTCACAGCTGCAACACTTCGTGCCCATCTGGCTTTCATGGCAACAACTGCTCTATTCCCTGCGAATGCTCAGAGGGACCCTGCCACCCTGTCTCTGGGGCCTGCCAGCTGGGTAAGGTGGAAAGGAGGGTGCAGTGACCAGGGAAAGACTGGCCCTTTACATGGGCTCCAGGGGTTTGTCACTTACCAGGGAGCTGGGCCCGCTTCAGACATGCTCCGTACTCTTCAGATCTGTCTGGATGCCTTGGGGCCCCCTGAAGATGGGACAGAGCCCCTGCCCCATGAGAAACCAGGCTAGCACCCAGGAAATGAGCAGGCAGGGCTGGACACTGCAATGTACATCAGGCATGAGAATTGGCAAGAACTTCTGGAACAGGCCACAGACCATCAGGAGGGGACAGACCAGCATGGAGGCTGCCTGGAGGAGGGGACCTTCAGGTTTAGCAGAATCTACATCTCTCAGAAGAGGGGGAGGGACCCACAGGTGGAAGAGTCTGGAGAGGAAGCAACTCAGAGCTAGAGATGAGGCATAATGGATGGAGACAGAAGACTCTGGATATTTGACCATCCCTTGCTTCCTGCAGGGTCTCGCAGTCAGGATGCTGCCCTCATCGCGGGCATCCTTGTGCCTCTGCTGCTGCTCCTCCTGGGCCTTGCCTGCTGCGCCTGCTGCTGCTGGGCCGCTCGGTTGGACCCCAAGGACAGGTGAACACTAGCCTGTCCCTCCCCCCGCCACAGCTCAGACCAGGGGGTGGAAGCAAGGTGGCATCTGGTTTCTTTACAGGGGTGGGGAAGGGCTGGCCTTATTACACACTTGGGTCAGAGGTAGTGAGGTAGGTGGCAGTGGCCGTAGCCTGCAGACACCAGGTCAGCCACCTGCCTTCTTCGGAAGCCTTCAGCGGGAGAGTTTCTGCGTCTCACGAGTGTGAGCAGGGGGCACCAGGCACCAGGCTGGTGAAACTCAAACCCACAGCAGCAGGCTGAGGGTTTCTTAAAGGGGAGCAGAGGAGGAGGGCAGGGAAGGCAGAAGCAGCCAGGTAGCTCTGGGCAGGGAGGGAAAGAGACCAGGCCTCGGATCCCCCAGAAGCAGAGTGACGTAAAAGTCTGAGAAGTAGTAGGACCGGCCTGGTGGTTTAGTGGTTAAGTTCATGCACTCTGCTTCAGCAGCCCAGGGTTCACTGGTTCAGATCTGGGTACAGACCTATGCACCACTCATTAAGCCATGCTGTGGTAGGCATCCCACATATAAAGTAGAGGAAGATGGGCACAGATGTTAGCTCAGGGCCACTCTTCCTCAGCGGAAAAAAAAAAAGTCTGAGCAGTGGTTTAGCAGAGAATGTGACTTTCCAAGAAAAGGAGAGAAGAGGAAGGATTTGGGTTTTGGGGGCCTGCTGCAGGGAACGGGGCTCACCCAGAGCTCTGTTCCTTCACAAAATCTCCTCACACTTCTTGGCTCCTTGGAGACCCACAGCAGCGTGGAGGTTTGGAGCAGGGAATGCGGGGACAGGAGGATCAGCATTCACAGAGGAGGACACTGAGGCCCGAGGTGACTCAGCTAGTCCCTGGCACGTGCAGAGCCCGTACCCTGTGTTCTGGACTCCTTGTCCGGTGCTCTCTTATTCGTGCACAATCCTTGTGCACATCCTCCTCCTCTGTGCTGTGGGGCAGCCACAGACCAGCAGACCCAGTGGCCCCTCCCCGGGGGCTTAGAGCCTGGGGGTGGGGAAGAAGCCCCTCACGTGAGGACCAGGACTGTGCAAAGGCTGTCAGATGAATGGTAATGAGTGAAGCCATCACTTCCAGCTTGAGAGGGGGGCCAAGGGCAGGCCTCCTGGAGGTGGTGCCACTTCCAGAGAGATATGTAAGCTGGGACGCAGCTAAGATGACCATAACACACAGCTGCATTCTGGGGAGCTTCACCCGGTGCCTGCACTGTGCTGGGTCCTGAAAAGAGCTCTGATGGAAGGGGGTGTTGTCCCCATTGTACTGATGAAGAGACTGAGGCCCAAGAGGTGAAGTCTGAGACAGAGTTGCTGCCCAAGTCTATTTGACTCTAGAGCCACCCTGCCTTCTCTGTCAGGCCCGAATCGCAGGCCTGAGATTTCAGTGCTTTGGAATTTACTCTGGAGTCATAGGGAACCATTGAACTAAACAAGGTCACCCTGGCACCCTGTCTCCCTCACACTAACCCCAGGACCAGGATGGTCCTGGCCCTCTTCTCCTGTGTCCACCCTGCCCCAACCAGGAGTCTCATGCACTGACCGCCCTCCTATGTCCTCAGGCCTGTGAGAGATGGAGCTGCTGTGTCCAGGATGAAGCTGCAGGTCTGGGGGGCACTGACCAGCCTGGGCTCTGCGCTGCCCTGTGGTTCCCTCAGCAGCCACAAGCTTCCCTGGGTAACAGGTGAGTGGGCGCTGAGGGTCAGGGCCTGGGATGGGACAAGGCTTTCCGTCGGGCTCTGTGCCTGACCTGGAGGCCCCTACAGTCTCGCACCACGACCCAGAGACGCCCTTCAACCACAGCTTCATTGAGCCGCCCTCTGCCGGCTGGGCCTCGGACGACTCCTTCTCTTCGGATCCCGAGTCTGGAGAGGAGGACGAGGGTCCTGCCTACTGTGTGCCACCCCAAGAAGGTAGCCCCCAAGAGCCCACTCGGCCCCTGAGCAGCCCTGCCCACCCAACCTCTTCTTTAGTCCTTTAGCAAACGTGTATCAAGCGCCCACTCTGTGCCAGTCACTGCTCCTGGCTGTGGGACACAGGAAAGAACAAGATAGATTCCTGCCCTCACCAGGCTTATGGTCTGGTGGGCAGTAGTCAGACACTTGCAGGACAGAGTGAGACATGCTTTGATGGGGGACATGCAAGTAGGGGCATCATCCAGCCATGTCAGGGGTGATGGGGTCAGGGAAGATGTCCCAGTGTTAGTGATATTGGGGTTGAGTCTGGCAAAATCAGTGGGAGTTAGCTGAGTGAGAGTTAGGGAGAGGCGGGAATGATGTTTCCAGAAGAGGGAACTGTGTACACAGAGGCCCAGAGGTGAGAGGGACATGGCTGTGGAGCATTGAAGGAGTTTTAGCTTGGTTAGTGTGACATTAGTTCATAGTAGGGGGAGTGGTGAGAAAAGAGTGGTGTCCACCAGAACAGCCCCTTCCCCAGCTTCTCTGCATCCTCCCCCTCTTCCTTGCCCATTTTTGAAGCCTCCCAGAAGATTCTGGGCTGGGTAAGTGGGGTGGAGTGGGGTGGCTAGCACAGCTCTGGCCAACCTCTTCTGTCTCCCCTGCCAGGGATGGTCCCTGTGGCCCAAGCAGAGCCGTCAGAGGTCAGCCTGGCTGGAGGTCCCTTCCCTCCCCCGGAGGATGCCTCCACGCCATTCGCCATCCCTCGCACTTCCAGCCTAGCACGGGCCAAGCGGCCGTCAGTCTCCTTTGCCGAAGGCACCAAGTTTGCACCGCAGAGTCGCAGAAGCTCAGGGGAGCTCTCCAGCCCACTCCGAAAGCCCAAGAGGCTCTCCCGGGGCGCCCAGCCAGGTCCTGAAGGCCAGGAGGCAGAGGAGCCCACAGGCCCAGAGCAAGCAGAAATGGACAAGGCCCTTCCTGGTGCTGCCAGCCCCAGGGATTCAACCACTGGCCGCCGCCGGCTCCCACTTGGTGGCCGGACAGTGGCTGAGCGTGTGGAAGCCATCGAGGGCAGTGTCCAGGAGAGCTCAGACTCTGTAACCACTATCTACATGCTGGCAGGGACACCCCGGGGATCTGAGGGCCCTGTCCGGTCTGTCCTCCGCCGTTTTGGTAGCTTCCAGAAAGGCCAGGCAGAGCCGAAGGTCAAGAGTGCCATCCCCAAGCCTCCACGGCGGGCCCTGAGTCGGAACAAGGGCAGCCCAGGGCCGGCCTCTAGCTCTGCCAATCAGAGCCCTGGCTCAGCCCCAAAGGAGGAGCTCAAGGGGACTTTGGAGTCTGTAGGAGCTGGGCCAGAGGAAGTGGGCAGGGACCTGGGGGATGGCATCAAGAACTCAGGGAGGGCCCAGGAGCCAGGCCCTGAGGGCGGCCCCCCAGAACAGGATCCCCAGAAGCTGGCTGAAGGGGAAGGGCAGGAGGAGCCCCAGTATGAGAATGTTGTAACCATCTCTGGGCCACCAGAGCCCTGAGGACCTTGAATTTGGGGACTGGGAAGAGTATGGTTGGGGGTGGGCATCAAACTGCCCCTGGATCAGACTGTGTTTTGTGCTGGACAAAGAGCCCAGGGCCAGGAAAGACATAGCAGAGCCTCTGCCCTTCCATGGGAAATGTGAGTTAGAGGCCAGCTGGCCCTGGGCCCTGGCAGTGCTCCGGGAGTGCTCTGGAAAGCCTGGGCAGAGACCCTGTGGGATGGGGTCAGGAAGGGGAAAGGATGGCTGCAGGGACTTTTTCTCTGTTGTCCTGGACTCTGTTTACCCCAGGAGGCTATTCTTTCCTTCATTTGCAAAACATTTTTCTGAAATGGGAAATAACCTAAATGTTTGATGATAAAAGATTGGTTAAAGAAATATTTCTTATGATAGCTTCCTAAACAACCACAAAAAATCATGTTGTGCAAGAATATTTAATATGGGAGATAGGGGAGAATGTTCACGCTATACTAGTAATTGTAAAAAGTAAGTTTTCTTATAAATTTCACTTCTTTTTGCCTCAGGATACATGTTGAGAATTTTTCCATTTTGTGTCTATTTTGTGATTGCTTTACAAACTGTTTTTTTAAAAAAGGATGTGTGTGCATTAAAAAGATTAAAAGAAAGGCATCATATGGCATTTTTCTTTGGGAGAGGAGATTGTGGCTGATATTTATTTTCTTAAACTTCTGTGTAATTTGCAAATTTTCTACAGTGAACATTCTTTTTACTTTTCTCCCTACATTGCATTTTTTAAAAAATTGTAAAAAGCAATGTTCTTTATTAAAAATAAAAAGTACTAAGATTGCAGACATGTTTAAAGTAAAAATGAGACTTTCCTTCTCTCCACAGGAGTCTGACAGACAAGGGAGGGGCTCGACTTACTTTTCACTGAATGCCTTTTGGTCTTGTTCTGATTTCTTTCCTCACATAGTTCTTGTATTACCTAGTCAGGAAATAAAGAGTGGCTTTCTCTTCTATCCCAGTGCTCAGAGAATTTCATGAACAGTATAGATGCTTCATTTCAGATGTTTTTCTGTGCATATGAAAACAAAAGAGCATACTATTCTACATTTTGCTTTTTCACTTAACAATATATCCTGGATCTCTTTCAATGTCAGTAACTATAAAGCTACCTCTTTTTGTTAAAAATGGCTGCATGGGATTCCATCATGAAGAAATACACAGGTTATTGAAACCATCCCCTACCTATGGGGATTGGGTTGTTTCTCGTTGTTTTGACACAATAAGTGATACAGAGTACAAACTTGTCCATATTTCTTTTTGCACTTGTGCAAGTTTTTCTGTAGAAGAGATTCCTACCAGTGGAATTGCTGGGTTATGGGGTAAGAACATTCAACACTTGTGTACTTACTCCAAACTGCCCTCCAAAAAAGGATTGTTTTCTATTCTCACAGATTATGGTGGCAACTATTTCTCCAATCGGAGAAGTTAAAAATGGCATCTCCTTATTTTAGCACAGGAAAAATAACTAAATAAAATAATAACGTGGTAAAGCTTCTTAAAAAGTTAAAATCTTTGTACAGATAAAAGTTTTTTGTTTTTGTTTTTTAACCATCCAAAATACTATCATTAAAAGTGAATTTCTATGATTATTCTAAGATTGAGCTTCTTTTCATATCTTTAATCATTATTTGTATTTTTCTTATAGATTATCTGGGTATACTCTTTCCAATTTTCAGTTGAGGTGTTCATCTTTTTCTCATTGATTTATAAGTGCCTTTATATATATCAAGGATATGAATTCTTTGCCCAGTTTGTGATGGGTCTTTAAATGCTGTTTATAGTTTCTTTCTTCTTTTTTTTTTCTATATAGAAATTTAAAATTTTAATTTAGACAGTCTTTTTCTTTTTGACTTCTGGGTTCCTTCCATGTCATACTTGTGGAAAGGTCTTCTCTCCCCTAAAATCAGTGAAATAATCTTCTACATTTTCTTCTAGTACTTTAGTGGTTTTCTTTCTGTATGATTTGCCAACAGTGCTGGTGTTGGGGCTTTAACACTCCTGACAAAAGAAGCTGGAAAAAACAACAATAGAATTTCATTCAACTAGACTAGGATTCAAATCTCAGTTCTGACATTCTTGTTTTGTGACTTTGGAAATGTTACTTAAAGCCTCAGTTTTTTCCATCTGAAAAATGGGGATAATGGCCATCTCCCAGGGTTATTGTGGGGATTAAATGACACAAAGTATGTAAAACACCTAGTAGCTTTGTAGCTCTCAATAAGGGGTAATTATGATTGGCGTCCCATCATTCTTCCAGCTTTGACTCCTTTATCCGTAGAAGCCAATACCTTTCACTCCTTTTCATTTGTTCATGTTTTCATTCAACAGACTCATAGTGTGTCTGCTTTGTGTTCATTTCTGTATTAAGGAAGGGCTGGTTATACAAAGTTGAATAAGATATAGTTTGTGCCCCTAAAGAGTTCATAGTCAATGGGAAAAGGGAGAGACAAACAGATGAATAGATAATTATAAAAACAACGCAATCTGTGGACAAAGATAGTGGAGAGTATCGTGGGGAGTGGTAAGGGAAGGCTTCCTGGAGGAGGTGCTGTTCAAGAAGAGACTACGTTTCAGGGCCAGAGGTGAGAGAACAGCACGTGCAGTAACCACAAGCAATTCCAAGTAATTGGAGTGTCTAGGACCAGGCAGTTCAACTAGCCTCCAGGGAGAGGAAGACACTGGTGGGGAGAAGCCTGTGTGGGTCAGGTTGGAGAACTTGAACTTTTATCCTGCAGGACAAATGGAAGCGAGTTTCTGAAGGACTTTAGCAGATGTCAGATTTACCAAGGTCATATTTACATTTCCCGTAGCTCACTGGGATGGGGTGGGGTGGAGAGATGGATTCGTCGAGCTAAGATTGGAGGCTGGATGACCTGCAGTCCTAGGGACACAGATGGGCAAATTAGACAAATATTTAGGAGCTAGGGTTGCATTGGTGGGGTGGGGTGGGGTAAAAGAGAATAACAGCAGGTGCCCAACAAATATTTGTTGAAAGGATGGTTCACAGTATCTAACTTCTGTAGATAGTGGTGCTATTGTCTGAGACAGAATGGAAGGAACATTTTGAGGGGAGGAGAAAGTGAACTATTAAGAGATGTTTTCAAGGGGCCGGGCTTGTGGCACAGCAGTTAAGTTCTCACGTTCCACTTCGGCAGCCTGGGGTTGGCTGGTTGGGACCCCAGGTGCGGACCTAAGCAGCGCTTGTCAAGCCATGCTGTGGCAGCCGTCCCACATATAAAGTAGAGGAAGATGGGCACAGATGTTAGTTCACGGCCAGTCTTCCTCAGCAAGAAGAGGAGGATTGGCGGCAGATGTTAGCTCAGGGCTAATCTTCCTCAAAAAAAAAAAAGACGTTTTCAAAACAGTTTAGAGATGCATACAGAACAGCTGCCTAGAGGCAGCCCTCAGGCAGGTGGCTCTAGGAGGAAGAAGGGAAGGACTGAAGTTTGTCAAGTGGCAGTCACAACCTTGTGAGAGGGTGAGATTCTGCAAGGGCGTGGTAACTCGTTAGGTAACCAGCCAGGATCCCCCAAGCCTGCAGCGCCAGGAGCAGTCTGAGCGAGGTTGCCAGTGGCGGGTTCACGGCGGCAGGGGGCGCCCTCGCATTGGGGGACGTGGAGCATCCTCTGGCTCTGGGATGCTAAGCCAGCTCCCAGAGCGTGGCAGGGATACCAAGCTGAATCTGGGGGAGACCGAGGGTCTTCTGAGGTAGGGCTACTGCCTTTGTCGGGGAGACGCAGCTGGGCACTTGAACGTCTAGAGCCCGGCCTCCACTCCCTTGTCCTGGCGGTTCCTTGGGGCAGGTCCAGCTCGTTGATCAGACTGGGCGTCCGGAGCCCTCCTGATCCCACGCGCTCTCCCGGAGGCCTGACTTGTGCTCAGAGCTTGGCGCTGTCCCCAGCGCCACTCTGCAGAGAGGGCCCTTACCTAAAAAGAGACTTCCGGGGCGGCCCTTTCCTAAAGGAGGTGGAGGTGGCGCAGGACAGTGGGTACGGGTGGTCAACTAGGGCAGGGAGCATCAAGATGACCGGTCGCGGGGGGGGGGGGGG